CATGGCCCATGATTTAATTCTCTTGAGAAAGAAGTGATCTTGAGTTATCTTAACAAACCAACAATGACCAAGAGAGTTCTCTCTTCATAACGTTGGAAGGCAATTAATTTGATGTTTAATTTAAAGGATTTAATATGGTATGTCTCATTCTAGCATGCATACTAGTTATCAATCATATTAATCCTATCATACAAACTAAACATTGTAAAATTAAAAGCATACATCTCATGTATAACTCAATGACTAGTGAATAGTAATGGATCTCTACTACTAGCCCCCTCGAGCTACAAGGGGACTAATGGGTCAAATACCTAGGTGAAAATTATTATAAATTTTTTGGGATTGTATTCACTTATTAGCTTCTCCTTCTTATATCTATTCTAATATTCTATCTTTTATTTTTATATTAATTTAAATAGAAAACCTCGAGTTACATTCGAGATGAGTAAGATGAGAAGAGAAACATAATAAAATGATAGAGAATATAGGACATACGAGCCTTTGTATCTAAAAATTACAAACATTTATTTCTATAAACTAAGTCCACTCATCTATACTATTCACCCATGCTTCAATCACATTGATACATGATATACTAATGAAACATATTTTATTTTAATTTTAATTATAAATCTATAATTTGATCATTTTATAAAATTATCAAGCTCCACTAAATTTTAATTTTAAGACTTTTGGGCCTTGAGCCTATGGGCTTTTGGGCCTCGAGGGCCCATGGGCTTCCATAACCAAGCCATCGGCCTAGTGCACTTGCGTGCACTCGGCCTTATGCTGGCCCTAGACTTGGTGTGCTCACGTACGTCAAGCTCGTCAATGGCTACCGACTTGGTGCGTTCATGCGTGCTTGGAACTCGTTGTTTGCCTTAGACTTACTCGCGCGTATGTGTTAGGCTTGCCAATGGCCACCGACCCGGTGCGTTCACGTGTCCCTAGCACTATTGCCTAGTGTGCGCGTGTGCTCGTCGTTCTTGCCTAATGCACTCGCGTGCACGGCCTGCTATAGACCTCGCCCATACGCATGCCTAGTGCACACTTGACACATACTTGGCATGTTTTGGCCTAGCCATAGACCTAGCGCACGCCTGCCATATCATCCGCCTAGCGCACAACCGGTCTACCAAGCAAACCTAGCATGTCACATACCTCATGCGATTGGCCTTAGCCGAAGGCTTGGTGTGCGCAAGGCACGTCCGGCTTGTCATGCACGAAGCATGCAATTGGCCTAACTAGGAGACCTAGCACGTCGCGGATCGCCTATTAGAAGGCCTAGCACTGTCGTACGCCTAGTGTGTGAATAGCTCGTCGGGAAGCTTGGCGTACGTTACGTATGTCCGGCATGTAACTTTCTTAGCACGTGAGTAGCCGGGCTCGTCACTTGCCTAGTGTGCGATCGACCATCCTCCTTGCTTGTGCACTAGTGCCAACGTCCAACGTTGGCCTCATGTACCCCACTCTTCTAAAGCCTAAATTTAAGTTTTAAAGCATATATAAAATATCAAAAATACCATATTTACAATAAAAATTGATAATTCATGTAGTTAATCACAATTAATAAAGCATGTAATTAAAGATTCAATAGAGGTTCGATATCAATCGAAGGATTATGCTTTCTATAGAGGTGCGGAATAAAACAAAAAAATTTCTCCATCTAAGGCTCCCAAAGTCAAGTTCGTTGAATCAACTAATCATATATACATGAATTAAAGTATAAGTAAAGGATTATCTCTTATAGCGTAAAATTCAACCTTTACGAAAAAGAAGCGATCCAGTGTCTAGCTTCATCAATAATTTATGCGATCCAAGTATCCACATAAGAAAATTTAGTGTTTTCTCTTTAGAAATCTATTCATAAATATTTTACGATAACCGTAATTGAGAGGGAGAAAGGTGGTGTGTTTTTAGGAGGGAGAAAACAATTTTCTCTCTTTTTTCTTTTTGTGTCATGTATACATTAACTCAATTTTACCTTGTGCAACACCTCCTCTTATATTTATATGGGGAATATCTTCCTTCTCCTCGAAGGATAAAGAAATGTTGGCAATATGTCCTAAAAAGGACCTTTGATTGTTGCTTTCTAATCCATCAAGGATTAAAAGTTATACATGTAGGCTTTTTGATCTTATCATTTTAAACCTTCATCCTTATTCAATAAAATTCATATTTATCTTTTCATCAAAATATCTTGTAGACTTTTAACTCAAACCTATTGGGTCAAACTCCTTGAGCCCAATTAATTACTAATTAATTTAAATTAGATATTTTTAGGAGGTCCACATTAGGAATCAATTTTCAAATCTAAATTAGGAAACTAATATTCCTTTTAGATGACTTACTTCTAAATTTGGAATCGACTTTCAAATTAGGAAATTGATTTTGAAAATAAGAAACTTTTTATTTTAGAAAAAATTTCATTTTTGGAAGCTTTTTCCAAAATAAAAAACTTTCAAAATTGAAAACTTTTTCCAACATCTTTGCTTCTCTTTTATTATGTGAATACTTAAACTTATGTATGTGACTCAATAGGCTCCTAGATATGTTGACAATATACAAGAATCAAAGACATCTCTTTTATCTCTTGATACATAAATCAATATTGGTCTTTACCAAGGCATCATGACTACCTAATTTTCTAAAAAGATTAATTAATCTATAATTACTTTTTATGAGCATGGTTACCATATAATTTATTTCTCAAGTCAATGTATCACACTTGTGATCTCGAACTTGGTTATTAGTCTATTTAATTATCATCACACAAGTTTTCTTCGATTCTCAAATATCTAAGCTCTTAAAGTAAAAAAACTATGCTCTATTAGTATCCTCCTACTATGGCCATAAATTGATCGAGCGAGACATTTATCAAAGTGTAATGTGATAACTCCTTTAGCATATAAGAAATAACATATCCTACCTTCGTCATCCACCTAGCTTTATTAAATTCCTAGTGCACCCAATGAATCGCCTATGTGCAACCCTTTATTGGATCCATCGAAACGAGTGTCAAAGTACATAAATCCTCCGATGAGATAACCATGATGACTTCAAATCAAAGAACCGGTTATACCCATCTCGTATGAGAATCCCATAGACTAAAGTAAATGGATTCTCATGGAGAGTCAAGTCTAGTGATATGTTCTCTAACATTAATCACCTAAGTGCTTGCTTTGGCATCACCATGCCAATAGGTGTGAGATCTCCTACTTGTTATCTTATAGTATGACCATAGCATTCACAAGTATAACTCGTATATAGTCAATGTCCATTTTTGATAATGTTATAACTTAAGATATTTAATGATATCATTTAAGTGCATTAATGTTTGTCTCACATCTTTCGATCAATCATTAATATAAATGCATATCATATGGATTTCTATCTAATTCTATTCAATAAATTACTATAAAAAATAAGAATTAATAGAAGGATTTTTTTATTATTAATAAAATAAATAATACAAAGTTACGATAACTCAAACCATCTAATCAAAATTGGATCTTGGGCTCCTACATTAACGGTTTAAAGAAGCAATTACGAATTTGAATACTTAGCTAGCAATAGATTATAATGATTAACTAACTAGCGTGCATTATAATCAATCAACCATACAATCATAGTCAAATAAAATAGAAAAACATAAAATACTCAAAAAAGATTAGGGATAAAAACCCTTTAGATCTCATAACAAGTTACACTAAAAGCTTCAACTTTCCTTTTAACCAAGAAAGATTCTTAGTGATGCATAATTTGCTTACAAGAGAGCATTTTCATCTATGGTGATTGCAAAAATGAGAGAATCCTTAAAATGAACCCTAACTTCTCTATTTATAGCCAAAAATTGAGTTATAACACACACATTCACAAGGTCACACGATTTATTTGGCTAAGGCATATGGCTTACTCTTTTATTTCACATGGTTTGGAGCCTTGGAGAGCTGGTGGCACATGGCTTCGTTGGATTAAGGCACACGATCGTGCTTAATTTACTCTTCATTCTATGTCCTTTAGTTTTTGCCCGTATGTCGTTTCTTTCTTCTTGGAGAACATCTTAGCCTTGACACACACACGTGGGTGTGTCACTTTTTTTATCAAACCATGTTGATCTGCTATTGTCTATGTCTTTGTTGAGCATCCACATGGTTTCTTTCTTTGTTTCACATGGTCAATAGTTTTTTACTCTTATAGGTCACATGCCCGTGTGACTTCTTTGCTTCCTTGGTGGCTTTAGCTTCTTATGTATTTTTTATTTGGGTTTATTCACTCCGATTTGTCATTTTTCCTACAAAAACCCAAAATCATTAACTTGTTCTTATTTACCTTAATATAATACAATAAACGCTAGTAAATTTAATGTAAAAAGACGTAAAATTTGTGTAAAAAATGCACCTATCATGTATGTTAAAAATTGAAATTCTGCTTCAACCTTCCTAGATGTTGTACATAGTACAATTAAGACTGTGCCAATTACCAATATCCCTCTGTCCTCAAATTCTTGTATTTTGGTCTAGGAAACCTAGTCTCTACCCCATTCTAATACCATTAGGACTATGTTCCAATTACTTAATGATATAAAGTGCAGTCTTAAATCCTACCTCTGCCATTTTCTTGACGGATTTAAAACTTTGTTGTAGTCTTTTTAGCAACAAAGGAAGTGCTTACATAGGAGAAAGCATTCGTAAAATCTCAGTTAAAAAGTTTGCAACCATGCGTTTAAAAGTTTCAAGCATGGTTTGTCCATAAGAGGAAAGACTTGACTATATAGAGGTAACAACAAGAGAGCAAGCAAAATACATCCATCCGTTTTTGATTGGGAGTCAATAAGTGCGTATCTATGCATTTTTCTGAGGCCCAAAACGGCAGAATGACGGCATGCCAAGTTAGAATAATTTCTATTTAATTTTTTAGACTGCTAAAAAAAGTTTCAAATAATGTAATCAAAATATTGTGCAAGAAAAGGGAAAAAGATGAGCATAATAGAAGCGCAGTTATTCTCTTTTGATGCCTCCGTGGGACCATCCTGAGAATTCTCCATAGCCATCATTCATAGGGCTTGAGTAGTCCCCAAATGTAATACAACTTCCTGTTGCACAATGTCCCCTTGTAATTTTTACCTTCACATGCTCCATCAATCTCAAGGTATACCTATTCTCTTCTTCTCTAGTTGCAACTATTGAGTGCCCTGTCGAGTGTGACCTTGACAATCCCAACATCTTTTCATGCCCTTCGTTTTGTCTGTCCGCCTCACGAGTCGATCTTCCTCCGCTATTTCCTCCTCTATCTTCCTCGCCGCTATCTTCTCTAACATGAATGCTAATAACGTGCTCTAGCAACGCATTTGTTTCATTAGTATCATGATGCACATTAATGTCCGCTCTGTGGTCTCGTATCCGAGTCTTTTCCAATGTTTCCCTAGGCAAGTCGAGATCTCTACGACAAACAGGACATGTTTTGTGAGCTTCAAGCCAAAGATCGATGCATTCTTTGTGGAAAACATGGTAGCAAACCGTTAAAAGGCGTAGTAGATCATCATCAGAAAATTCCGCCAAGCAAATAGCACATTCAAGTCCACATTCTTCACGTCGAAAATCTTTGACGCTTGAATATGTAAATGTTGGAAAAACTTGTATTTGTGAAGAATCAAGTCCAGGATTTTCTTTTGAACTAGCTGGATTTACAAGGCCTCCTGAGTTCTGCCTGAGATGCCAACTGTGGATGATGCCTTCCATAAAACATCTATAAAAGCATATAGAGAAGAAACCTACAAAGAAGAACACAAGTAGAATTACGGTTACAAGTAGGGTTATTGCTGGAGAGCCAATAGATAGAGTCGCTGGGGATGATGAAGAATTAGACGACATCGATCAGAAATGTAGCCTAGACGGCTGGCGGGAGCTTGGGATTTTGCCAGCCTCAGGTTTTTGCATGGATGAAGGGAAATTTAGCCAAAGAAAACGAGAAAAAAAGAAGCGGATAGATTGGCACTTTCAGTTTTTATTGTTGTTTTGTTAGTTAAATTTGAGGCCAGTTAAGGAAGAGAGAAACAAGGAGGCAACTGGATGTGGTTGGGAATATATATAAGAAGGTTGCTTAATTTGGAATGGTGATGTGGAGACATCAGTTTCTTGTCCTTGGTTGTGGAGAAATTGGTTTGTTTCCCTTGACAGAGATCATGGCCATTGAACGAGTCCTTGTGAGAAGGATGTGGAGCTTCTTCTGAACACTAGCAATTTTGGCTCAGCTAATTTCTCTGTTTCTATTGTGTAAAAACAATGACATTTTTCTTTGTTAGGCCATTGGTCCGATTTTCATATAATCACCGAACTTGAAAATTCCCACTCTACCCAACCAGATTCAGATCATTTGTACCAATCACGTGAAATTGAGATCACAATTTGGGTAAACAAACAAGATTGGACGGGGAGTGATGTTATTGTCTGACCTGAGACTACTTTGGTCTTGTGGTTTGGCAGCTCGGGGTTATGATGCTTATCAACCACTGGACGAGGGTTCGACCCTTGTTACCTCCTGAACATTATTAGTGCAACAACTTTATGGAACCTTAAAATGCAATATTCAAGCTTTGGCTGTAATAATAGTGCGCAAAGTTTGACATAGTGATAATTGATTGTGCACCTTTTGGTTTCATCGTGTCGTAGACAATACTCTCCTAACATTTGCACACTTATATCGTAACCTTGTTTGTTTTAAAAAATAAATAATTAATTAAACTGTTTTTATGAAATAACGAATGTGTATTTCATATTTTTACTATTCATATGATTCAATTTATTATTTAATATAAAAAATTAAAAAAATGATATAATTAATTCAATTATTTATGTACTTTTTACTAGTTCATAATCCCTTTCAATTATATTCAATATTTTGAATCTTACAAATAAATTTGATTGTTCATTAGTTTCGGTACGGATGTTTTGTAGAGATTAAGATAATTATTTGAAGTTCTTATCATTTATATTCACTTAAATTTTACTTTATAAATTTAAGTAAAATCATTTCTCTATCATTTTTCTCTCAAATTTTATTATTATTACCATTTGTTTTATAATACGTTGTCGGTATGAAGCTCTAACCAACTTAAATAAGAGACCATGAGATATGTATCTATCAAAAGACTCAATCATTTCTTTCAATTATTAAATTGTTCTTCTACATAAATGCTCTACCAAAATATCTAAATTATCTAGAGGTATGTATTTAATTTATCATATACTTTAAATCTAATGATACATAGAATATACATTTGAAAAACTTAAATGATTTAATAAATAGAATATAATGATCTAGAATATATGGTTTGAAAAGTTTAAATTTTATTATTATGTTTGTTTTTATTTAAATTTTATTATTAAATTGTGTTCTTATTTCTTAATATTATTATTATACTTTGCATTATAGAATTTCTATCATATCAAACCTTACAAAATTTGATTTTGTGATTCTTGACATTTTGAATAAGAATTATTTATATTTGGTGCTTGATCCGAGTAAATATTTTCTATTTTTATGTCTCGAATATGCTCCTGCTTGTAGCAATATTGAAAAAAAAAATTAAGAAAAATTCGAATAGATTTCATACTTGTTTGTGGCTAAATAAAATAACAAGCTATTGATAAAAACTAATAAATCCCTCCAACTAGATCTACTTCATTCCTTAAAGTGAATGTGACAACTTATAATAATTTTGAGCACGCGAATGAAGATATGGTCATAGCCATGGACGTGGTCAAAATAATTATCGTTATAATCGTGATGACCATTACCACCAAAAGTGGATAAACTATGAAAAAAATAAAAAATAATAATAAAAAGAATAAAAATGGATCAACTCAATATTCTGAAAATAAATGTTATAGATGTGGCATGAATAAACATTAGTCGCATAGTTGTCTTACACCGTAGTACATCATTGAGCCTTATCAAGCCTCGTTGAAAAAAAAAGAGTAAAATATCGATGTCAATTTTATATATCAAAATAATAGCAATTGAAATTAATTATTTTTTAGTTTTTCTATTTATAAATAAGATATTTTTTATAATTTCTATTGTATAGTGATAGTTACGAATTTATTTTGATATATATATGAAGATTGTATTTATTTATTTATTTATTTTATTGAATTATTGATTTTGTGTTTATATTATATGACTATATCAATCTAGTGGAAGGCTTCGAACAGCGAATATAATATTATTTAAAGAGACAATTCTTAAAGGTTGTAGAAGAACGAATATATTATTACTTGAAGTGACGAATTTAAAAGCTCTATAAGAGTAAATATATTATTATCCGAAATAATAAATTTTATTATAAATTATGCATTATTCTCTCTAAAGTCTCATAAAAGTTTGTTGAGTTTGAAATATATTTGTCTAAATGGACATTATATCAAGATAGCAAATATAGAAAATATTAAATACTTATATATTATAATTATTATATCGGGTAGAAAATATGTATTGGAAAAATTACTCTATTTTTCTTTTGATTTTTATTACAAATATTTGAATGATTGAAACAAATACTATAATAAATCAAAAATTTACTAATTCAAATATTTCTATTATGTGGCATGAGCGGTTAGGTTATCTTAAGTCTTCCATGATGCAAAACATTATTGAAAATTCATATGGGCAATTATTAAAGAGTCGAAGATTTTTCAATCTAATGAATTTTTATGTTTTGCATGTTTTCAAAGCAAACTAATTATTAAGTCAGCACTAAGTAAAATTCAAAATGAAAATTCAGTATTTTTAGAACGTATTTAAGGTGATATAGGTGAATCAATTCATATACCATGTAAATCATTTAGATATTTTATGATTTTAATCTATGCATCCATAAAATGATCACGTGCACACTTATTATTTATTCAAAACCTAACGTTTTTTAGGTTGTTAGCTCAAATAATTTGATTACAAGCATAATTTTTAAATTATGCCATTCAAAAAAATTGCCTTGATAATGGTGGTAATGTTATCTCTCAAGCATTAAATGATTATTAATTGGCTATTAGAATAAAGGTTAAACGAGCATGTTGCTCATGTTCATACTCGAAAGATTTAGCAAAATCATTTATCAAAAAGCTTTAATTGATAGCTAAACCATTGTTTATGACACAAAACTCTTTATTTATGTTTGGGGACATACAATTTTATATGCAACAATACTTATTCGCATTAGATCCATAAGCTATCTTAAATTAAATATCTTGAACCAAGAATATAAGATGTTTTTACAACTCGATTTACCGACTATCATTTTGATGAAATAGTTTTTCCAACATTAGGGAGAGAGAATAAACAAAATAAGCAATTGAGAATGTTAAAAAAAAATTACTTGAAGTACTCCATCTTTACATCATCTTAATCTTCGTATAAAATATTGTGAACTAGAAATTCATTCATTTATAAAATCTAGCAAACCAAATGCCAAATGCATTTTCAAATCCAAAAATAGTAACTAAAACACGTCTTCGTCGAGAATGCTCTTATTAGAATTGATTTCCTAGAAAGAAAATCTATTAATGTTATAGAAAATATATCTAAAGCACAGCAGAAGCATGGAAGATCGATCAGTTCTAAAGAGAAAAATCCCTAAAAGAAAAGAGCAAATAATCAAGATAAAAATAGAAAAGATATAAATATTTACAAAATGGTCTAAAATAATTCGATAATAGGCTTCCACAAGAAGTCTAAGTGCTTAAGAAAAATCAAAAGATTTTAATAAATTATGTCAATACGGAAAGAAAATAAGATCGAAAAGAAACATTTATTGATAATATTTTTTGATGTAATGTTATAATTGATATTTTGAATGAAAATAAAGATCTTGAGCCTAAATCTATTAAATGAGTAATGACATAGAGATGATTGGCCTAAATGAAAAGAACAAACTAGACAAAATTATATTTTCTTACAAACGAGTAGCTTTTGAATCCATAGTCAAAATTCCCGAAAATATTAAGCAATGGGACACAAATGTATATTTGTGTGAAAAAAACTAAGAAAGATGAGATTGTGAAACACAAAGCAAGACTTATAACATAAGGGCTTTAGCAAAGATCCGACATTAACTATGAAGAGATATATTCTCTTATAATTAATGTAATTACATTTTGTTACCTCATTATCCTGGCAAAATATATGAAAAACTTCATATACATGCATTTAATAAATGTGATTATAATTTATTTATTAACTTAAAATGATATCTACATGAAATTATTGAAGGACTTAAGATACCTAAAACATGCAATACACTTTTTTGAAAAATAAATTTCATTAAATTATAGAAATCTCTATCAGGATTATTTTAGTATTTATTTTATTCTTTTAGTTTTTAAAAATTCAATTTATGCTATTCTTTTTATATTTATTTTGTATTTTTTAATATCTACTCTTTATTAGTAACATGTGTGCATGTGGTATAATCGCTTCAATGAATATTTATTAAAAGAAAGTTAGTAAAATAACTCTATTTGTTCATGTATTTTTATAAAAAAAATTTGAAAAGGATTTTATGATAATTATTGTATATGTTGATGATTTAAATATTATTAGAACTTGTAAAGAGATTTCAAGTACCATAAGTTATCTAAAACAAAATTTTATGTGAATGCATTGGAAAAATAAAGTTTTATCTTGATCCGTAGTTCAAGCACTTAAAAAATAAGATTTTTATTCACTAGTCAATATATATATATATATATATATATATATATATATATATAAATTTACAATTATTCTATATAAAGCTCATCCATTGACTAGCTAAATGATAGTTTGTTCACTTAATATCCAAAAAGATCATTTTTGGCCTTGAGAAAATAATAAAGAACTATGTGATCTTGAAGTATCATATCGTAGTGTCATTGATACATTAATGTATTTTGTTAATAATACCCGATCCGATATAGAATTTATTATAAATTTATTAACAAGATATAATTATGCTCCAACACGAAGAGATTGAAATAAAATTAAGCATATTCTACGTTATCTCCTAGAAATAATTGATATAGGCTTATTTTACTCTAATCAAAGATATAATTAATTAGTTATGTAGATGCGGATTATTTATTTAATTCATACAAATCTCGATCACAAAAAAGTTATATATTTATACATAGTGATACAACTATATCATGACGTTCTATGAAGTAAACTATAGGTGCTATATATTCAAACCATGTAAAAATATCAATTCACGAGACAAAATCGAGAATGTATTTGGCTAAGATTAATGACCTCATTATATCGGAAAGATATGCGATTTATCTATCAGCAAAGAAATTTCAACAATATTATATGAAAATAATGTTGATTGCATAATTCAATTAATGAAAGAATATATCAAAGTGATGATTTGACGGACTTAGTCACTAAGGCGTTACCTATCATAACTTTTAAGAAAATAATTCGCAAGATTGAGATGCATCATCTTAAAAATATTAAATATTGTTTTCAACATGGAAAGGACACCCAACATAGAGATTAGTATTTACAAGGAATATTATACTCTTTTTTCATCACTATGATTTTTTTTTACTTGGGTTTTTTTTATAGTAAGGTTTTAATTAAACATATTCCTTATATGATGGATATAAAAAAGAGAATGTTATGAAATAATGAAAATTCATCTTATATTCTCACTACTCATGTGATTTAATTCACTATTCAACATGAAAAATTAAAAAAATGATGCAATCAATTTGATTATTCATGCACCTTTTAATAATTCATAGTCTTTTCCACTTCTCTTTAATATCTTGACGCCTATATATAAACTTAATTGTTCTTTAGTTTAAGTAAACGTGTTTTGTAAAAATTGAAAGAATTATTTAAAATTCTTATCATTTATATTCATCTAAATTTATTTTACAATGATATCGTTTTCCCATTCTATTATTGTCACCGTTTCTTTTATAACTACCATCACTTTTTTTATTAATAATATTATTATTATTATTGAACTAAAAAGAGTAATCCTTTTTCAGCATTATTTGGGCTTCCCAACTCAGCATGGTCGTGCTGAATTGGCAAACTAATACGGTAAGCGGAAAAGCTTCCCCCTTAAATTCCACGCCTTTTCAGGGATTGGCTAAAAACAATGTCCCACACATTTTTACCACAAATTGGATCAAAACCGCATGAAAATATAACGCACGGCTTCATAAGCATCACTAGTTAAACTAGCAACTGTTGAGTAGGTTATAAGATGCTGTACCAGATCCAATACAAAAGGTTACTTACCAGGACCCACAGCATTATCATCATGGGGTTTTCTATTCTCACCACCACACCACACCACACCCCCCCCCCCTACATTTTCTATTTGCCCTTCTTTAAACAGCTTCACTAATGGCAACCATATGAATCTTCTCAAAAAAATATATATATATGGCCAGACATTTATATCCAAAAGCATACCAAGCATATATTTTGCACAACAAAGATTCATGGTGATGTCAGGACAATTCATTCATCCAAACGATAATCCCAAAATCTACTCAACTAATTCAGTTTCATCGTTCTGCTTACCTAACGATTACAACTTTGTAGAACCAGTCTACCTTGCCTTCCATCTCATTCCTGACACGCCAGTCATTTGCTACACAAAGAAAGGGCACAACAGAATACCTAAAGGATCATGTCTCTCCCTAACAAGGCGAGTTAATAAAAATGAAAAATGTTGCCCATCTCATCTAAGGAAGGTTCTCACCTTTATTTGAGTCTCGTTTCAGTCAGCTGAGGCAACCAGATGCTGAAACAGCCAGAACACGATTAGACTAGAGAAGTGGCAAATTAATACCCAATGAACCTCATGAGAGAAATCAATGTATGAGAAACAATCTTATAAAACAAAATATCCACACAACAAATACTAGCACTGACATACCTCAGAATGTGCAAATTCATGATAAATGTTGATTAATTACCTGCTGACCTGCACAAAAACTGCAACAATTTGGAGATAGAGAGCAGAAGGGAGAGAACGAGATATCCAAATATTAATTGGGAAATTTATCCGGAGTGGTACAACTACAAAGACAATAGTTCTCCTTGGATGAGAGACATCCAGTTATCATGCTTGATTACAAAGATCAACACTACAAATGTAGTACAAGCTTCAATTTCCACACTGGAAACTGAAATTCATGCATAAACACTACAGGCCCAAGACTTAAATAGGCAAGGGATCATCCAGAAACTTGAAGCCAGTGAACATCCACCTCTTCAACCTAAGAGCTGAAGCTTCCCAATCTCTTCATGCCTCAAGAAAACAAACTCTGCACTTGGCCATTTAAAGCTTCTTGCATGAGTCCTTGAACATTTCAAATTATATCAGAACGCTACACAGAAAAAGATTCTGAGCCTATTCAATGTCATCAATCCAGTCACCATATATCCTACTGATTTTGTCTGGACCCTTCCATTTCTGATGTGTTCTTTGTCCAGGCCTCTGAATCAAAATAGAAGATCTCTGTGATGGAACTCCAAGGTGATAAACATCTGAATGAGGCACAGAAGTAACTGATGTGACCACAGTCTCTGGTGGAGTTTTTGAAGGCACTCCTCCCTGCTTTGATTCAACGGGGACAGAAGAAGAATCTTTAACATCCGTATCCACAAGCCCACCACCGTATCGGTGTAACTCTGCAGTCAGACAATTCAACTCCAAAGTTAACATCTAGCATACTTCAATCGCATCAAAGAAAGAAAAGAAAAGAAAAGAAAGAAAGAAAGGGAAAAACAATAGCGCAGCTCCATCATCATGTTTGTACTCTGCAACCGACATTCATCCAAAACATAGAGAACACCAACTAGTATTCCTCGTACAAACAACAGAAAACTGCCACATATTAGGCATTTATACTTCTGAATAAGAGATGAATGGCATTTCAATTCTCATTCAGTACATGGAATCCTTCAACAGGTTGCATTAAACAACCAACTTATAAATTGTTAAAGAAACACACATAAACCAACAGTACATCAGAACAGAAGTAAAGGAAATGAAATCTAACTGCAAACTTTCTCTAATACTATGGAAAGAAAAAATTACATTTTCCTTTAATTTAATTGGGAAATAAGAGAGGAAAATAAAACAAAGCTATCTTTTGATAGTCCTGTGGTGGAAACAACAGCAATATAGCTCCCGTAAAGCATTCATAAAAAGTCAGCAGCTTACCACACCAACTAATATAATAAAGCTCAAATAAAGTCCCAGATTAGCAGGAAAATTGTCATACACCTCATGTTATGAAGGAATTGCCGCTAATTACTTAACAATATGAGACTCAAAATGCTGCAAACTGGAGCATTTTCAGGTCAGGAACATAGACAAATATCCATTTTATTTAGAGATTGAGATGTGTGAACATCTTAAACCATTAAACTAAGAAATAAAAGTCCTTCAATGGGCAGTAAATGCCAGCTAATACTTCCATAAAAGATATGCATACCTATTATACACAACACTGCCACATACCAAAAAAATCATAGCAACCACAAATCTTCTATTTGTCTAGCATTAAAATCAATCAAACATGTTCTACTTTCTTAGAGTGGAGCACTCTCAAATAACATTTCAACCAAACAACTCTTTCTAAATTATCAAAGTCACGACCTTTTACATCTATTCAGTACCAAATAATCAATAGAAAATGTCTCCTGCTGATAAATCCTAGTCTTTACCAAAAACTGAAATCATCAATGGTACAAAATTCGCAATATATAAGGCATACCTCCTGCTCCATGAGCAAAATGACACTTATTCCCAAATGGGCAATATCCAGTAAGTTCCCACTTGTTACAAATTCTTGTCTTCCAATTTGATGGCTTCACATTAACGGCATTGCTACCTGCATTTCCACCACCACCACCTCCAACCCCACCTGCACCGGCACCTCCACCCCCACCCCCACCCCCACCTCCTGCTCCACCTCCACCACCCCCTCCATACCCACCAGGCCCCAAACTTATTGCCACACTCTCCCTATTCTTTGACTGCTCATCGTGCAAAAACGTGCAATTATCTCCATACGGACACCCTTCCTCTGTATAAAACTTCTTACAATGCCTACCTTTATAAGACCTCTGTGTCTCCGCTCCAAATCCCACTACTGATGGAATTTGAAATTCCTCTCTGACATCCACCGTGCTCCCTTTCTCTTCCTCATGCGCAGCCACTATCTCCTGCCAGTTTGGAGGTGGACGCCGAAGCTCCTCTATGCTGTGTGCAAAGTTACAGTTCGTGATGTATGGGCATGTGCCTGCCCGGAACTTACAGCAAAGTTTGGTCTTGAAAAACATTTTTCCAATCGATTTCTTTGAATTCAATTCCTGGGAATTGTTTTTTGATTTCTTATTTGGTGGTTCACTACCAGAACGTGTTTGTGGGGATTGGTAGTTGGAATTGGAAGGAGTGTTGTCATTAAGGCCATCAGAATTATTCCAAACACGGTAATCATCTTCTGTGGCCCAAACAGAATTGGAATCAGAGGAATTTGAAATCCAGCTATCTGGACCTGTAATTGGAATTACATGGACAACATTTCCACCAGAAAAATCCCTATTGTAATCCATTTTATAACTTAAAAGACCACTGACCAAATGATATTGAAGTAGCAAACTTTGAAGAAGAAACCCTAACTGGTAATAAAAGATGAAAAAAATAGCACATAAAACATGAGACCCATGAACAAAAATTGTTAGGAAATGAAGCAAGGATGTGAAATTAGCAAATTTTGAGAAATAGGTATTTAATTAACACATCAAGGACTGAGTAACAAAGAGCTGGAGCTAAAAAAGCATCCAAAGCAGCAAGAACTAAAATTAAAGGGTTTTTGAATTACCTGATCAAAAGAGAAACTTGACACCCAATTACCCGAATTTGTGAAATGGGTTTTTAGTTAACATATCTAAGACTAGATTCAAAAGGGTTTTTACTAAAATTTGCAGTGAAAATGAGATAAAACAAAAAAAAAAATATATATATATATATATATATACTAGTACAACAACCGCAGCAGGTATAACCTGAAAATTGATGGATAAATGGGTTTTGGATCCAGGACCTTGGATTATGGAGCAGAATCTAGAAACTATTAAAAGAAAAACTGGGAGTGAAAATAGAAATTTTGAGTGTCTAAAGGGGAAACAAAGCATGTAGGCTTTTTGAGGGGAGACAATAAAGCTTCGAAATTTAGATAATGGAATTCAGCTTTCAGAGAGCGACAGGAAATAGATAGATTAGATTTCGATTTTCCAAAAATACACACAACTCTGTTCCAAAAACAAATGATCAATGAAGTTAACGAGAGGATAAATGACAAATGTACTCGTGTCCAAATTTCCTTCCTTCTTCAGTAAATTATAAATTATTACCAAACCAATTAAATAATTTTTAAAAAAATTAATTAATTAATCTTTTTATCAGATGTGATTAATTTATTATTATTATATTTTAAAGAAATATTTTTTTATAAAAAAGAATTAGGTTATAAATAAATTGAAAAATATAATGATTAATTAATTAGCTATTGAAACTAGAAAAATTATTAAATCCTTTTCAAAATTAAAGGAATTAATTTATAATTTATTCATCTTTTTTTTTAGTTCACCAACTTTTCTTTTTTTTTTTTTTTAATGGATAAGAAAAATTAAAATTCCTAGATTTGATTGATAAAAATGAAAACTTAGCATACTAGTATTGCTCAAATAAGGGACTTACTCTCTTTTTTCTTTTTTTACTTTCTTATCAAAGGGAATTGCCAACACTAGGGTTGAGCATTCTTTTATTAGAATTTCTTAACAAAATTATTGATTTTCTAACAAAATAACGTAGATTGTTACAATAAAAACTACAATTTGGTTGGAGTTTATGATGAGCATAGGGGAAGAGACTTAATTGAAAACTTTTGCAACTTGAGGAATGAAATTGATACAAGAAATTATTGGGAAGTTAAAATTTAGCAATTTTTCAGATTTGCCCAAACCCAAAAAAAATAATAATAATAATAAAATTCATGTAATGAGATAGATAGAGTGCCATTTGAAGTAAAGAATGAGTCCAATCTAATTTGGGCCTAAAGCTTGACTGCCAGGAGCTTCGACTTCCAGCTATTAATCTTTGGAGATATGTGGGCTAGGGAGCCCTCGGTGGTACTTTTTTTTTTCTTTTTTTCCCTTAAAAATCTTGAATGATAGATTCCTTACTGCTTAGGACTCAGGATTTAAAAAAAAAAAAAAAAAAAAAAAAACCTAGACGTGATGATAAGTTTTCTTCAGTTGATCATCCTGTTTAGGTTTTTGAAACATATAGCTTTAAAAACTAAAATTTTACTTTTGGATTTTATTATTATTTTTTTTAAATTGGATGCTCCTGGAGTTTAGTTTTTGAAACATATAGCTATAAAAACTAAAATCTTACTTTTGAATTTTTATTTTTATTTTTTTATTGGATACTCTTGGATTTAAGAACTGAATCTTAAGAGGATATATATAGTATCAAACTAACTTATATGTTAATTGATCTAAAATTTGAACTCAGAAAATCAAGAAACAGAACAAATCCCTTGAAAATCCAACAATTATAATTTGTGTATGAATGTATATGCAAGTGTCTCCTTAATCCTTGATTTATTTTGTTTAAAGTTCATCCTTATATGAAGTCAATATTAAGTTCTGATGCGAGCTTTTCCATCAAAAAATTACCAAGCACTTGCTTTCATATAGATCATCTGTTTGAAAGGTACCATATATATGTTGAGAGAAAAAGATATTTTCCCTTGTGAGATATATCAAGACAATAAGATGAATTGCAGAAAGCAGATATATATCAATGCCTTTCCTTAAACATTTGATGACATCTTCTTATCACAATTGATTTTAATCACTCTCATATGATCCAATCCTCCTGGCTACGATCAAGTGATCACTATGGTTGACTTCAACACTTAGCAGTACTGATATTTATTTCTGTCACTAATTAAGTTGTGAAAGAACTATGTACAGTTACGTAACCGTGAAGCCGACGTCAATACAACGTACGTTTAATACATCTGCAATTGTGAGGAGCTAGCGTGCCTCCATTCCATCAATCCACGAGCTCATGTCCTGGTCTACTCTCAAAATCAACCATCAATTTGTTCAATTTCTGGTTGCTTATCTTTTGTTGAATGATTCTCATGTCCTGGTCAAAGCTGCAATTAAATAGTGAAAGAGGAAAATTTATATTATTAGCGTGCATGGTTAAAGTCGATCTTGAACAATAGTCTCTTATTATGTACTAAGCACTAACCTTTGAGGGGGTGGGGGTGAATGTGCAGGAGGAGTTAACATGGAGGCAAGCTTATTAGCATCTTCATGCCGATTAACAACACGATTGAAGCATAAATAGCGTCCATACGATGACACATCTTCATAGATGCAAACGTGGGCATCCAACAAGAAATTTAGGTCGACAGTCACAAAAACCCCATCTTCATACATTTCTGCTGCTCCTTTCAAATATGAGTTTTTGATGGAAAGATCGGGACTCATCAACAAACCTGCATTAACAGATACCATATTCACTCCTCTGTCCATTGCCAACGCCCATGCTGTCTTCTCTGCTAGTGTTTTTGATAGGGCATGCCACAACTGTCAAAAAATCCATTTCAACGTATAACATTAATGTTAATTCATTAAAGGAGGGATCTTAACGAATTTAATACATAATCACTACAAATTGCACGTAATTAGCACTAGAATCGAAGCAGGGAAAGAAGAAGGATTTGGTATATACCTTAAATTTACGACAGAAATTAATGTCACTCCAGTGTCTCTCATCAATAGCTGCTGTTATGGATTTGCGATCATCTCTCCAAATAACAGCAGTTGCTGAGGATGTGAACACAACCTTGTCAATTGTTTCAGTTTGTGCACATGCCTCTAGCACATTGTGTGCTGCTCTCACCTCCACTTCTGTCATGAATTCCTGTACCGATCCAATGGCCCGTAATTTGTCAATGCCACAATTTGAACGCTTATTTGTTTTTCCAATAACCCCAAAATTGGGAAAACAATTAAGACAATTGATGATAGCTAGAAAAGAACTTAGTCTTTCTTAAAACCAATTAAGTATTTTCTTGCAGGAATTTATGCTTCAAAAGTTTGAAACATTTTGTGCAAAGCGACTTTGATGATGTTTCGTTCCATCGTCTAATTAATCTGAACAAATTGCTCAAATATTGGGAACAAAAAAATTACAGAGGAGAAAGATAAGAAAGCATCCCAATACTTTAATTGGCCGATACTTGTCTCTCTCAAAGGATTAAACAATATTAAAGCAGATGTGACCTATTATTATCACTAGTCAATTGTAATGACGATGGACTTTTTCTTTGCTAATTAATATTCTAATAATGAGATGAGACCCTTAACCGTAATGAGCCTAATGGCCATTAATTGGAGACTAGGATGTTTACTTGCAAGCAATTAAAGCCACTTAACAACTCTTATTAACCAAAGAAAATAATGGCACGTATGTATATGAGTAATGCTATTTTAAGAAAAAGGCTCTTATAAAACCACAAAGGTATATATTTTAAGAAGTACAAATAATTTATTCATTTGAGTATATCGTAATTTACTTCTATTCTCCTGAAAAAAATTCAAATCTTATTCACTCGCATCCAAAAATTTAAAAAAAAAAAAAAGGGCTCAAATAAAATGCATGGATTGATTATATGTGTGTGTGAAGGGAAAAAGAGAATTTTAAGGTAAATTTTTCTTTTTAAACGAAAATACTTTTAGGGTACGAGTTTAATTATAGAAGGTTGACAATTGAGCATATTAAAATCAATTAGGTGGTTAATATGTTATATTTGTGTACGTAGGTCGGTAGCCAGTCCCTTTCAGGTCCTGCTCAAATTCCCTTCATTCCCACACAACTACAAGTCAAGCTGTATAAGATTTTGTGAAGCTACTCGTGACAAAACTATCATAGCCTATATGGTATATATAGGACCACAAATATTGATATTTCCGGTTCATTGTTTATGAATACGTACACACCGTAATTAAATTATATATACACAAAAAGTCAGCTGCTAGCTTATTATTCAACTAATGCCGTCTATTTTATGTATGAGCTAGCTAGCTAGCTAGTGTGTGATGGTAACGCAACAAATGGAAATAAAATTGAAAATTAACATGCAATAATTATGCAGCTGCATTATTAATTACTTTGCGTAAACGAAGAGCATCACATCATTCAAACTGCATGACTTTTAAATCCCTTTAATTTGGACGTTAGAGCTTTTTAACAGTAAAAGATCAGTACTTTGCAATTTGCTAACACTTCTCTCGATCAATTATATTCTCATCGTCCAATAACTTGTACCAAAGTTTATATATATATATGCGCTTTATTATTATTATTATATAATATAAACATGAGATCGATTGCCAAATCAAATTATTTACTAATGTCAATATTTTTTTTTTTTTTTGTTTTTGAAAGAAGGAAGTATGACTTCGAATAATTCCTCTTGATTGGCAAAGTCATTAAAATTAATTAAGTTTATCTCTCGTGTTCAAATTAATACATTCATTAATAAGTAACGCAATTGTGATTTTATTATAAAAAAAATGCAAACATTATATACATTAATGTGAAAATTTATTCATTTTCATTACTGGAGTAATCATTTAATTAGCGTTTGTAAACTCCATGTTTATAGGTTGTTAATTGTTTGGATTAACGTTTTGTATATGGTTTTTTATTCTTAAATTATTATTTTTAGTTAATTTGATAGAATACGTACGACCTAAGTAGTAAAAAAACAGCTTAATTAATACATAGTTGTTGACCGTTAATTCTCAAAAAAAAAAAATAGTGAAAATTGTGAATCTATGTATGCCAAAAAATAGGATAGAGTAGTTTGCGGTACTTGTATTGTGTGGTGCCTTGTGCTATTTTTTCTTGTTTATTCTTAGTTCAAATTATCATGCATGTAGATCTATGCTAAGGTTTGATTTTGTTGTCGGCTGGAGATCGCATAAGCTAAGCTGCAATTAAATTTACTTCCACACATGAAAGGGAAACATGAACTTACATCATAAGAGAGTTGGTCTTGTGGAGGCTCAAAGGTGTAAAACAAACCAGAACAACCTCTTAATGCATCAATTATGCTCTTATAGTCAAAAGGGTCGGCATAGAAAATCTTCAGCTTCTTGTTATCACAAGATAGGTCATTGAGTTGCAACTCGCCTGATTAAAAATATCCAAAACAATCATGAATCAGTCCATGCATGCAAAAAGTAAGTAAAAAAGAAAGATGTACTAGTAGAAGATCAAAAAAAAAAAAAAAAGGTAAAAAGAGATCGAGAAAGTAAGCATTACAATTATGGTTTTGAACCGCCGCATGAACAGTGTATCCTCTTTGTAGGAGCCTTTCAACCAAGCACAAGCCAAGGGGGCCTGAAGCATCCATCACACAAACTTTGTTTGTAATGTGATGGAAAGAAGCTGGTGCCATTTGAGAGGTGACACTTTTTGATTAACTGAACTGTCAGATATTGGAAGAGTTGTGTTTTTTTATGGAGGAAGAGTTTGGATAGGTGACTTGGTAATTGGTAGTATATGGATAGAGGAGGAGAAAACGACAGAAAACAAGTTTCCAAGAATTGGTGATTCTTTTTTATTGTCAAAATTTTTTGGGCAGAGTGAGTTAAGACTGGCACGTAGGTATATATAAAGAAGGGTGGCTAGCATTCAAAGAGCGTGGCAATAGTAGATAGCTGGCAGGTGGTTGTTAGTATATTTAGCCAATGATAAATACTTTTGAGGGTTTTGACACATACCCAATGATAAATAGAGTTCGGTGAGCAACGTGTGTGGCTAGTTACGCGTCCTAATAATCACAGGATCAGGTGCGTAGGCAAAGCTACTCATCACCAGAAGAAAACGAAGAGTATGGTTTGAAACCTGCCCAACCAGATGGTTGAGACAATTAAATGAGACCAGTACATATCCCATGCATTAAGGATTGCGTAAATGATGGTCAACGAATGTGAGTAGAGAGCAGAGCATATTTTGCCTTGTGTCGATTTGGGAGTTAGTTTTCTAGAAGGAGCAATAAGTTGGCACACAGTCACAAACTGATGTAATTTCGGCCCCCTTCATGCCCATCATCATATAATATAAAAAGACAAAGGCATGTCTCTTGTAAATTTTGGTTCTGAATGATTAATCCAACTACATTTCCGTGTTCTATGAATAGGTTTGACTTCCAACTTATGTAGTCTTGATTCTAGACAAATATACAAGAAATAATCGATTGGAAGTTGATTTGGTATTCCAAGTCAGGATGGATTCATTGTTCTTCCACATGCATTAATGCAGTGACACTATACGTATTTCTGCGCACCCTTTTACATTAGAGATGTTTAAATAGTAATGACAGTTTAATTAGAGTTACATTCTTAATTGCACTGTCTGAATATATTGTGAACGCAAAAGTAGTAGTAAACGTATCAGTTTAGTTCGAATTAATAAAGAAGCACATTTGTTTGTTTGAGTGAGCTCGAAACTTACAGTAAGATCAGTTTCGCCTGTGAATATTTGTGCTTGCAAATTGTTGTGATGCATCAGAAGTAAGAGATTCTAAAACACAAATTAAAGTTTTAAATCAAATTGTCAATCCATATTTGGCTTTTGAAAATTCGTGCTGTTTTGGGCGGAACTATTTTTTAATTTTAACTCATTTTAAGTTGAGTTTTTAATCATCAAAATAAATTTTAAAAATCATTTAACTTTAATTTTTAAAAAAATTTAATTCAACTATTAATTTTTAGTCAAAAATAACAAAAACTCAACCTACCCCCTCGTAAACACTTCCCATTGGCATTGAAGGCCCCGATTTCACCTTCCCAACATAACCCTTATCATCAATCATATTATATCTTGATTCATTAAAATAAATAAATAAATCTAAGATCGTCACTATTTATTTATTATTCTCTTACTCGTCTATGCGGATCTATAGGCATTGTGCTTTATGACTCAATTATACTCGTGTTGATCTCTTCTTTACATCTTGGTCATCTTCTGATCGAGCTTTGTCTCTCTATCATTGATTTAGTTAAGCTCGTTGCCTTTTGAATTTTTGTCTTAGAGAGAAGGTAAGTGGTGTGTTTATAACCCTTATTTATTTTGTTTAATTTCTCTTTTGCCGATACATTGTTTTGTTCTATTACCTTTTTGTCATTCTATGTTTTTCTTTTGTTTCTATCTTATGTAACTTTTTCGTAATCGTGTTTTTTTTTTTTTCATTCATTTAAAAACCCTAACATACTATCATTGAATTTCGATATATAACTTAATTTTATCCCAACTTTATCTTCATCCTTTTGATTCTCTCCCTTAAACACACCTTTTTTTGCCATCAAGGGACAAGGCAATCAAAATCCTCCTCCTCACTCTTTTTTCTCTTAATATCTTTCATAAATTGATCAAACTATGATCTTAAATTATTTATTATCATTTTTTCCTCTAATTTTATGTTTCCTTTCAATTGATGGAAGCATAAGAGGACGAGTAAAAGAGGGAGCATCTTAGTTGTCGGATTGAAGAACATGAGGTGCCATTCATTTGCTTTATATAGCCTCGAGAATTTGTTTTTTAAACAAATTTGCTTGGAGATTTTTTTAATTGTTGTTTAGCTCTTTGATTGGTCGGGCAAAATTTTGTTTTTGATTTATTTTCAAGTTGATTCCACTTGTTACATATTAATTTCATGTTATCATGTTACTTTGATGTGTTTATTTTTGAATGATTGGAATTTCTGCCATTATACATGGACTAAGTCATTGCAGGTGTTGCCATCCGTGGTTGGTTTGAGAATCTATTACCGCTCATCCTTGCTAAGACTAAAAAGGTTACCGGTTGGATATACTTGGTTTGATGGAAGGTGTTGTGGTGGCTTGGAGAATCTTTCCGATAGTATTTTATTCAATTTTTTCTCTAATTTATTTGGCCTTTTTTCACATTTTGTTTTTTGTTTGTTTGATGGTGCAATAAGGATACGTCATAACTTTAACATCTAATTTCTAAGGTTTTTTTATCCATCATAAATGCTTTCTTATGGTTTTATATTGAATTTCATAAAATGAATTTGTTATGTTCATGATTTTTTCAATTTTTTGCTTTTTTTATTTAATAATTAGTTGTAGATTTGCCTTCATTGTCTTTGTTTTCCATGTAGTTGTGTTTTTACTAAAAGCTTGCCATTACGTATAAACGAGATCTTTATAATGAATCATTTTTTTCAAACTATTTTCTTTCAATAAGCTTGGTTTTTTTTCCCACGCTAACAAGTGTTGTCTTTGTTGTTGAAAGTTCATCTCTAAAATTTGAAATGTGAATTACTCTCAATTTTCAACTTTGCTTCATTTCTTAAGGAAGTCAAAATACTTAGTTGTAATGTTTGTTTCACTATATTCAATATGTGAGCTAAATTGAGAGGTTTAGGTGAATTTCTTATGTTCTATAATATTAACAAACCATCTTAGAAACTACACCAAAACAAAGACATTATTCGAGGCACACACTCTCTATAGTGAAGTTCATTTTCCATATTTGTTTTGTCATGTTTTTTTAAGCTTATCATTTAATTTTTATAGTTTTATTTATTTTTAGTTGTGTAGTTTATGAAAGTATTTCTTGCTTTATTACTAGAGACATTTATATTAATTTAATCTTGCATTGTGTTGATTATTTTTTTAGAATTTTTATGGCTTTGTTTGCTTTTTTGGTCAAATTGTGTCATCAATGTTCTTAATCGTTTTCATGTTACACTTTGATCCTTCCTAAAAATAGTGTGATTAAAATAACGTTCAAGAATGAATATTGAAATGTATATAGTTTTGGTCACTATTAAAAGGTTATATGTAGCAATAAATGTTAAAGAATCTATCATTAACATGCATAATGCAATTATAAAATTTATTAATATAAAAACATCATTCATTAATAACATATATAATGCAATTGTAAAAATTTAATTGTGTAAAAGCCATACAATTACTAATTTTGTAGTTTAAGGCTATTAAATAAGTTGAATGCCACATTGAAATCCAGCTTTGGATTTTCTATTCAATGTAAGTGAACCATTAAAATTGCTAAAAAAAACAAATGGAATACAAATTGGATCATACTTAGAAATTTGAAAAGACTTGAAAAGAAATTGGATTTGAAAAGAAAAAAATAGTTGTTTATTGGTTTTGATGGAACTGATTGACATTTTGGGCTACTTTATTTGCTAGCAAAGTTCTTGGTTCTTAAAAGTAGAGCATTGAATAATTATTGATTGTGTAAGACACTATCACATTTATTTTATTTTCAATTTTTTTGACAAAGATAGTTTTTTAAAAGAGATGAATCATTAAAGAATGTCGTTTTGAGATAGATAAATTATTAAGAGATATTGAAAGACCCACTAGTGGGATGTGGTAAGTTAATGCGGACTCAAGTGATGCGGACATGTTTAAATTTTTCATTGCTTTTGGTTTCGTTGGTGATTGTAGTGATGAGTCATCGAGGATACAAAAACTGTTAGAATTTATGAATTATCTTTATGCTAATTTTTTTCCTAAAAAAAGGAATTTAGTGTAAATTGTTGGTTCAATTGACCAATTATTCTACCATCACATTTTGCATTATGATTCGGATAATATATAAACTCATATCTATTAATTTAATATTTAAAAAATCTTACCGTAATTCCTTTGAATGTATCTTCAACATCAATTTTGTTTCCCTTAAATAAGTCTTAATCAACCGAGCTTTATTTAGAAATCAACAATTCAAAATATTCTAATGGCTAAAACAATGGGATTAATATTCTTAAAAAAGTTCCTTGCGGCATAAAGGAAATTAACAATCATTAAATATAAAAATTATTCTTTAATTAGTGAAGAGTTATGAAAAAACATCAAGAAAAAATATACCTACAATACCAATGAACACTTCTAAAAATATTTGTAGAAAATTTTATTTTTTTATTCTTAGTATAACCTCAAAACTAATTTCTAAATAACTAATTTAGAACTTTTTGTATGGTTGGGTGATTTATCTATTCCTATAAACTAATTTATTTATTTCTTTTTTATTGGAATCAATATGGAACACCAAAAATTTTTGCCTTTGAAATAGTCTAAAACATTAGTTCTCTTTTGACCTATTCTTTTTGTTACCTCTAAATATATGTGGTCATGTGATGCTTTTATTATTTTAAACTTTTGATTTTCATATTTTTAATAAATTTTCCCATGAAATATTAAATACTTAAATAAAATAAAATATATTATTGTATTGAATATGTAAGAATATAATTAAACATTACAGTTTATATGACTTCATTATTGCTTTTACCAATACTCCTCCCGCAAAGATAGCATGGGTAACAAATCGCTTACAAAGAAAACTAAAAGAAATGGATAGTTCATTATTCATTTACCGTAGTATAACACTTAGAGT